CCAACACGAATATTGGATGTGAAGAAATGTGAAGTCTCCCGATTTGTTGTTGTGAACAATCGCACTGACACACTTCTCACAGTATCATTCTCTTTACCACGAAAAGATGGGGTGGATCTGTATCAAGAGGATTTGTACACAAATGTGGCCTCTGGAGTACCCGAGTGCACTTCCAAAGAATGGCTTGTTCCAACGGCGGACGACGGGCAGAAGAGAGGATCTAGACAGTCATTGACAGGGTCTGGAAGCAATAGAAATTCCAGACGGAGAAGTAGTGTATCATTGCGACCAAGAAACATGAAGAGTGTCTATGATGTCAGTGCTGAAGAAGGTGGAAAAGACCGAAAAATAGAGTTACTTGAAAAGATGAAATTAAAGACTGGGATGAAGATGAAGAAGTTGAAAACGTCTGGAGTTTTTGAAGAGATAGTAAGAGGGTGGATGTGGAATTCATTTGTTCCACGATGGTGTGAGTTGACCGAGAGGAACTTGATGTTGTTTATGAATAGAGATGACTCACTTCCAACCACTATCATAGACTTGTTACATATCACTGATTTTGTAGAGGCTGAAATGGTTCAGGGAAAGTTTCCAATTATAATCAAATTGGATGAGACTTGTGAGGAAGTAGCAAAGGGCACTGCGCAGAAACAATACTTGTATTTTGTCGACTCTAAAAAGCACGCCGACGAGTGGGTAGCTACTTTTAACATTATGAAAGAGTTGGCAGAAACGTTACACGCGGAGGAGGAAGAACGAGAGAAGAAAGAAAAGGCGCATGAGGAACTTGAAGATTTTGAGAAGGAAAAACAAAAGAAGAAGTATGATGTATGTGGTCTTTTGTACGTCGTCAAGCCGTCCTTGTTCAGTACAATCAAGCACAGATTCTTCTATATTGAGAAGGGTGTTTTATACAGTCAGAACATCACTTGGTGGACTCAACAACCAACAGGAATTCCAGAGATGGAATGCTTTTTGAATCGAATTATCCATCTTAGTAGTTCAGAGGGTATCTTCCCACCTTCATATGGAAAGACCACATTCCAATTGACCACTAAAGGAAGTGTTATGCACTTGGCATGTTCCAATTACAAAGACTATGAGATGTGGATCAATGCATGCACTCCAAATATGTTAAAAGGAGAGGAAGACGAGGATGATTTGGACGCATTCAGACGATCTGCAGCGCAAGATGAAATGGATTATTTCTTCTCTGGACTTTTTGGTGGGTATTCGAAGATCTTTGTATCACTTGTTGCGAATGAAATCTTCATATTTAAGAACAAAATCGACACCACTCCCCTTGTCAAAATATTTTTAAATGATGTTGAAACAATCGAAACCAAACCCGAGACGCAGGAATTGTTTGTCACTATGAAAAACAAAACTATTGTTCATAAATTCCGAACCCCCGAGTGTGAGACTTGGAAAGACGAAATTTTGCAGAGAAAGAAGAAGACGTCGGATGTCTTGACTTCTTTGGGAATTCGAAACAATATTTTGACGCTTGATAACACGATCAACGACGAGTATGTCCTCCAGACGTCAAATGACAGTGAAAGCATCTTCCAAGATACTAACTTGTTTTTGAAAGGGGAGTATACCCTCCTCCTCCAAATTAAAGGACGTTTGAGGTTGAGAAGTTTCCTTGTGCCACTTGCTCAAGAACAGTTGAATCCGTGCAACTCGTATATCTTGGCGTGTAAACAAGGGATGTATGTCTGGCAAGGACAGTACGCGCCTCGTGTGAATCGAGCAAAAGCCATTGAATTGGCGCAACGGTGGGCGACCAAAGAAAGAGACGGGTGTATGGTGAAGGTTATGGTCCAAGGGAAAGATGATGACAATTCGCCAATTTGGATGAAGATTGGCTGTAAACCAACCCCCGTGTCGACTGAAAAAGAGTTCAAAAAGGAGAATTACAAAAACAACCAAACCACTGACGAACAAGACAAGGAAACACCTATGATGATTAGAATATATCGAATTGTCCACAGAGAAAACAACGACAGTAATCCACTTTCAGTCACACTTATCCATGAACATGGTGTGAACTCACTTCCCCCAAAAGAACTGTTAAAAGCAGGGACGGTCAATATCGTCACAACAGATACTGAAATATTCATCTGGAGCAGTGTCTCAGCTACTACTTTGGCAAAGAGAATTGGTAACATCGTCGCAGTAGAAATGGCTAAGACCATCAAACCAATTATAATGTTGAGACTCAACGAAAATGGAGAGGCTATTTTGTATAAAGAAAAGTTCAGCAACTACCCTGGAATGCTCCCAATTCAGACCGGAGGAGCAGCACCAGACATCAAGAAGTTGAATGCTACAATTGAGAGAAGACCACAGAGAAACATTGAAATTATTCTCGATGAAATCTCGAAACCTACAGTACCCAATTTCACTGAGTTGGTATTGAACGTTAATGGTAAGATGATTTTCCAAGCAATGAAAGAGACGACAAAGGGCGGATCATTCACAATTAAAAGAATCGATGAACACGAAATTGTTGTGTACCCGGAGACTTTGTATGGACAGTTCTTCTCAAAGGACGCTTTCCTTGTGCAATACACATTCTTGCCTGAAAACTCCGAGAAGGCACAACACATCTTATACTTCTGGCAAGGCAGAGACGCGTCGTTGATGGATTTGGGAACGTTGGCACACAAAGTGGTGGAAGCCAGTGGACTTGTCGACACCTCGACACAAATCAGAGTAGTCCAAGGAAAAGAGCCCCGCGAGTTCCTTGAGATCTTCAAAGAGAAATTCATTGTGCATTTGGGAGGGTACACAGAATACTGTGAGAAGCGCCCAGCCGTTTATGAAATTAGAGGAAAAGAGAAAGGACTGTGCAAAGTTGTTCAAATGCCCATTCCAGAACAACTCCAAACGTTCACCAGTGGGATGAAATTAATGCCTGGTTCTCTCTACCTTTTCAAAACACTTAATAAGTTGTACTCCATTGAAGGTTCACAAGTGAACGAATTCCAAAAACAAAGCGCAGACATGTTCAGTAAAACAGTCAACATCCCAATTGAAAAGAATGATGCAGAGGTGAAGGCGTTACTTGGCAATTTCGAGTTTATTAACGGAGTTGAGAAGACGGTCCAGAACTATAACCAAATCAGACTGTTCAAATTCACATTTTGGGTCACATCAGTCGACTTGGAGGAAATTGAACAGCCACAACAGAGCGACTTTTTTGCAGATTATGTGTATATGATCGACGCGGGGAAAATCTATCTGTGGTTCGGTGCAAAGTCCATTAACGAGACACGACGATTCTCACTTCAATTTGCACTTGAAGTGGCTAAGAGACGTGGACAACAAAGTGTATTGATTGAAACACAGAACGAAGAAAGCGTCACATTTAGAGCATTCTTTGAAGCTTGGTCTGACGCTAATTTACTGAGAAAGAACAACTTAAGACAAAACTATGCAGTAGCTCCAAAGAGTGTCATTGAGACTATTCAAAGTGTCATTGATGGGTCATTCACAACACTGAATGCGGCTTTGGACGGCGATATTGCAGTCGAAGGGAAGTCGATAAAATCCGTCAAGTTCCCAAGTGACCAAATCACCATAGAAGGAGTCAAGGTTGATCGTAGTGTTGTATTCCCAACTATGGAAAAGAGAGAGAAAGAGACAGAGAGTGATGCCAAAGTTTTGTTTGAAGAATATTGCAGAACACGTTATACCTATGCAGAACTCATCACAAAGCCAAGACCATTTGGTGTTGATAAGGCAATTCTTGAGACTTATCTATCTGACGAAGAGTTCGAAGAAATTTTGGGCATGAATAGAGACGCTTTCTACAAGATGAAGGGATGGTGCAGAGACAAGTTGAAACATGCTGTCTATCTGTACTAAACAAACACTCATTCTATTTCTGTTATACTCTATTAATACATTTATTATAAAATTTATTAGAACGAAATATATTTATTCAATTATTATATCCATTTTATGATATACTCGTTAGTATATTAGTAAATATAATTTAATAAAATATAATATACTAATAATTATTTACTAATTAAATACTAAAAAGTATACCATTTTTCAGAAAGAAATTCATTTAAAAATGACAATTCAAATCATACGAAATAAATATTTTTATATGATGGTTTTAAAAACAAAAAGTGCATTTGCCGGGACTCGAACCCGGATCTCCACCTTGGAAGGGTGGAATTCTGCCCTTAGACCACAAATGCTTCTTGAAATTTAGTATAACTATCTATTTTTAAATTATAATTATTCTATTTTATTTGATTGTTAAAATATAAAAACGCCCCCAGGGGGCTCGAACCCCCGACCTTACGGTTAAAAGCCGCACGCTCTACCGACTGAGCTAGGAAGGCACCTATTATTTCCAGATCATGTTAATTGCAGTCATCACAACATGAATTGATGTATTTGGAATTAAGTTTGGTTTAAAATTAAATTATCAATAACATTTTTGAACATAATAAAATTGTTATGACAATTTAACTCGACAATTAAAAAAATATGATACTTTTTATTAAAAATATATTTAAATCTATTTAACTAATCGACTCTAAATAAATAGACTCTACCTAACATGAACAAATAAAATCAATTAGAAACGTATTTTAAGTATTTTTTTATCGCACTGTTCCCTTCCTTCTTGCATTTGGCAATTTTCTTTTCGAGCTCGGGTGTCATCTCGCCACGCTTCTCTTCAAGTTTAGTGGACATATCAAAGAGAACCTCCTCGTCATCTACAATTTGGAACTGCTCGAAGTATTCAATAATAGTGTCATTTCTTTTGAAAGGATAAGGCACGGCTTGTTTCACCATGATCTCTTTGATCAAATTTCCGATGCCTCTGATTTTAAAGAAGTTGATTAAGGACTTCTCTGTGTCACCCTTTTTATTCCCATCATCAGTAAACACCAAGTCGCCCATTGTACTCCCCAAAAAGGGTATACAAGGCGAAACGGCTATTTTCATCACTTCTCGTAGTTTGCTGAAATTCTTCTCTTGGTCACAAAGAGCATTTAATTTTGATTCATTTTCTTTGTCCTCAGACGAAATACCCTCCCACGAGTATTTGAGTCTGAATATGGGGAACGACCCCAATGCCCCAAATACAGCTTTCATCCCCTCAAAATTGTTTAATCGCCTCATCTCCTCGGCAACTACCAAAAAGTAGTGTATAGCCAATGCACGATTTCCAACTTCCTTTTCGTTCAAAATGAACGTCTGGACTATAGAAAACAGTTTTTGAGTTGAGCGCACCAACTTCATAATGTTTGGTGTTAGCAAATCCTTTGTCTTCTTGGTCCACCCGTTTCCCAAAAATTCGACGTATGGGATCTTTCTGAAGAGATCGTTTTGCATAAGAGTGATTTGTCGTGCAAACTCGATGGGGTGGAATTTGAATATATTTGAGTATTTGTTTTTAATAAGTTTCAAGGGCTTTTGGAAGACGACTTGTTCCTCACTACACGTGTCTACATTTGCAATTCGATGTTCAAGTTGCTTTTGAAGAATGGAACTCATTTTTGGATTGAACTGTTTGAACCGGGTGATCAACTGTTGGAGTTTGTCGATGAGATCTTCCTTCCCTTCAAAGTCCTTCCACGCGTTCTTCATCCACATTCGAACAAAGTTCATGATTTTCAGTCTGCCCGGCGCCACAATGTCTTTCACAAACGTATCCCAGTCCATTCCTTCGGGTACTGTCGGGTCAAATAAGATATTTAATAGCTCTAATAACCTTTCTGGAGTTGTCACCAAACGATACGCCAAAACAAAACACTCTTGGAAGTATCCATCATTAAAATCTTTAGATAACATCGTCTGCACACACTTCTCGATAGTCGCCATTTGTATAATTTTGAAGTCACACCCCGACTCCGTTGTATATCTTATATAGTCCGAAGAATTTGGAACATCGAAAAGTGTCGAGTAATTGGGGTCGGGGTTATACTTGTCCTCCTCGATTTTGTCAGACCCGGAAAGATTCGAAAAATCCGTTGAATTTGATATTGTGCTTCTCGTTTCGCGCGTAATTGTGGCTTCTGGTTGCTTTGTCGCCATACAACAATTTGGTTTTCTTCGATATATTTTTGTTTTTTGATTATTCTATTTTTACATACATATCAATATCACTTTTTCAGTTCTTTTCTTCCTTGTTCTTCTTTGGTTCTGTGTTACCATTCTCCAAATTTATGGTGCAATTTATATGTCATAACTACCACTTTACCTCTTGTGCACATCCTTAATAACAATTCTTTAATTATTTTACTATTCTATATAGAATCTCCTTTTAAGCCCTAAATCATTATAGTTCTCAATAGTTGTTTTTATTATCAAAACTATCAAAGAATTATTGAAGAGCGATAATATCTTCAATGTCTTTTCGTTTGAAAAAAATCAATTATGAAATAAAAACAAAAATTCTTTACTATCGAAAGTATCATTAAATATAGTAAAATTACAGTTTACAAAAGCGTGTGGGGAAATGAAATCAACAACAAAATCTTCCTCAAAGATTGTTCAATAGTAGTCAACAAACCATTAAAGAACTAAAAATCAATCATTACTGTTGTGGGCAATTTTGGGGCGCTGGTGGCTTTGTTTCGTCTTGGGCTTGGTCTCCGCCTTCAGTTTGTTGTTTTGGTTCTTCCTCGTCTTCGTCGTCGTCCTCATCATCTTCGTCATCATCCTCACATTTGTGAGCATGTGAATGTCCACATTTGCATCCGCCCATATCTTCGTCGTCCTCATCGAAGTCTTCACCGTCCATATCATCTTCACCGTCGTCCATGTCCATCATGCTTTCATCAAAGAAGCTCAAGGCGTGTTGATAGACGGTGTTGATAAGTTCCATGAAGATTTTGAAGTTGTTGTGGAAGGTCAAAGTGTCCTCGTCGACTTCTTGATTCTCATCTTCTGGGTTGAAGTCTTCTGGTAATGCTGGTGAGTAGAATAAGTCGAAGAAACTCTCGACTTTCTGTCTGACTGGTGCGGCTGGTCTTCCTCTTCCTCCTCTTTTTCCTCCTCTCTTCTTGACCAATTTGTATCTGACGTCCTTGTCTCTCTTCCATTCAATTGGAGACTCGGTGACCAAAGTTGGCATATCAAATTCGCCTTCAATGTCACATGAAATACATGAGACAGCAACAGTGATAGTTTCGTTCGTGAAGAATTCATTTGGTTCAAAGTCGAAGTGGACTTTATATGAGAACTTAAGGCTGTCTTCTCCTTCTCTATTCTTGACATCTTCCAATGGCAAGTAATCAATTCGGATATTTTTCAAGTGGAGGAGAACTTCAATATCAGCCTCAGATCCCATAGCTGAGTCAAACAACATCGAGTTTCTAAGAACACAGAACCAGAAAGCGGGAATACCCTTGTCGAAAGTGGACCCTTCCTTTGCTTTAATTTCCTCGGACTTGACATATCCAGTCAACTCGGCTTCAGTCGGTTCGTTTCCGTTGACTATTTCGTTCATTCTCGCATACAGAGCCTTTGATTCCTCATTGAATTTGGCTGCTGCAGCATAGCGCTCACGCTCCATGTTCAGGCGCAATTTGTTGACTTCTTTCATTTTGTTGTGGCAGGCGTGGTAGTTTTTGTGGACGTTTTCGGCCACAGCCCCCATATATTCCTCGTAGCTCATTGCAGCCAATTCAGCAAGACTCATTGTATGATAATCCAATTGTCGAATCGCCTTTTCAACCCTAAGGGTTTCGGTGTGGTCTTATGATACACTTTTGAGTGTTTTTATTGATGTGGTTATTAGAATAACTATTTGTCGAATATTTAAATAAGTTATTTACTATTTAAATTATTTGTGTTATAGTATTTTTTGTAATTCTCAGTTATGTGTGTTTTTTTCTTTCATTCTATTTATAACCTTTTTTTAGTAGTATTATAATTTTACTATTTTTTAATTATGATATTTGAAATAATTTAAGTCTGATTATATAAAAATCTCAAAAGGTTGTATTATTTTTTTAGTTAATAATATTATTTTTTATAATACATTCAATTATAATAGAAATTTAGAACATATTTTACAAAAATAACTAGGTTTAATTAATCAAAATTAACATCAAAACTCAATTAATAGTGAAATTATATAAAAAAAATAATAATAAAACGCCAAAATCACATTAGTGATTGTTTGTTTTCAAAACTATTATTTATAATAAAATGTATTATACATATTAATACGGAATTAAAATCGAAGAAGTTAAAAAATTACTGTTTGATATTAATGACTTGCTCCAGGAATTTGTTTGTGTTAAGGATATCTGTCCCGCCAAGAATAATCTTCCCACTCGTCGAGATTCGATTTCTGTTTGCAACTGCGACTTCTTCCTCAAAAGTTGCACCACCAACAATGAAGATTATAAGATCCTTTGACGTGGTATTGTTTCCTCTACAATATGGGAACTTGTCGACACTTTGTTGAGTTAAGAACGAGTCAATGAGTAACTCCAAAACGGGTTTGTGTTGAACAAAGATGTTCTCAACACCAGCAACACTCTTTTTGACAAAGTCCAACACCGCTTTGGCTGCCTTTGGGAATATCTCGATGGGTCGTTTACTTGCCCCACCATATTTAATAACACATCCAACAATTTCAGCTTTCTCTTGTGGAACACCGCACTTGATTAACTCTTGGATAATCTCTTGTGCACGTTCTTCGTATTTCAATGCATACAACATACCAACTCGGATCTTGTCATCTTCCATATAGTCCCCAGCAAACAACTGTGTCATTTTCGTGAACAATTCAGCGCGTCCACTGGAACACACGATCTCTTGCTCAAGTCGTGACACATCGAGCATCTTTCGCGAACTCACCGCTTTGTTGATTAATCCCATTAACCCCAAATGCTTTTTCACACCAGCAGACTCCTTTTTCATTTGTGGAATCGAGTCAATGACCTGCCGCATTTCCTCAAGCGAGTTGTACTGTTTACTCTTAACACCAGCTTTTTGTGTTAACTCGTTCACTGCTTTAATAACACTGTCGGTGATGTCGCTGAACAGTTGGTACATGTGCTCTGTGTAGAACACGTCATCTGAAAGTACAACCGATTGGTTGTTCAATTGGACTTTACCGTTATCAATTCCGATGAACTCGTGAATCATTGCCTGATATGTCCACTCTGTCAAAAGTGGTGTAATTGGATCAAAGCATCGATCTAATATAACCAAGTTGACCCCCGTACTTCCACTTTTGAAAAAGTCTTTTTGTTTGTCGATCTGCATCGAAACACCATCGGCAATCCGTTTCGACAGCTCCGAATTCTGTTGAAAACGGCTATTTGTAAGAATCTTCTCTGCCACGGTTGTGATAAAACACTTTAATGAAGAGTATAAAGCACAAACATAGATGGATTCTTCTTGAGGGAAAGACAGAGTGAAGTTATCGAACTAACTGTCTTCTGTTCCCAAAACACCGAATTTTCTGAAGTTATTGAACAGAAGTTTGGGGAGGACGATATAAATAAGTCGGCATTGATTGGCATGAAGTCAATATATAATTCCATCACCTTTTGGACAACTTCGTGCGTGTCTGCATGACTTAACAAAGCAATTTGTGATGGATCCAAGCAGTTTGTGAAATCTGTGGATGAGTGGATTCGATAATCACCAGAGTAAAAGAGTTAACAAACACAAGTAATATTTCCCGTACTTTGGTGCGGCAAGTTCGGTTTTGAGTAACTCCATATTTGCACTTGTTGGTCGTAAAAGGCAAACAGCACTCAAATGAAGCAAAGTGTCGCGTGTCGTGTCGCTCAGTTGTTGTACGAGGTATACCTCTTTTTGGATAATCTCCGTCATGGAAAACAAAACGGAGACGACGGGAATCGTGTCTGCATCCATTACAAGCGCTTTCATTCCCGGAGTCTCGTCGAGGGTGTAGTTCATATAATTTTGAAGAACTGCGATGGTGTTCATTGAATAATTAAAAGCCATAAACAGTTCGTTTTTCTTTTTTTTTCTTTGTCATTTTTGGTCTGATTTATAATATATAATATATTTATTAGTAATTTTTGGTATTTTTGATTAATCTCAATATGTCATTTTGTTATTGTAACTTAATTAATATTTTTGGTTGTTTTTTAAATTGTTTTTTAGACATTTTTAACAGATTATTACTTTGAGTTGCAACTTTGACGTTTTACATTATATAAAATATATATTAAAAAATAGATCTATATCTTATAAATATGTCTAAATAACAAATTGTTTTATTGATGAAAAATATACTATTAATGAATTAATAGTACATTTATTGTAGACTATTAAATATATTTAATATATTTAATATTTTATTTTTTAATTGATTATATTATCTATAATAAAATTAATTATTTTGGTAGAAATACATGCAAAATGACGGGTTATTAATAATAAAAAAAAATTGAAGGAAAATAAAGCAACTATATATATCGGGAGTTTTATTATAAAAACAAAAAAATGAAGTAAATAAATATATAGAACTTTTATTCACTTACCGATATATAATGCTATTATTATACTAATTAACAAATATCGAATGAAAAACGAAAAGGATCAAGTTGTAACATTATTACTAATAATGATTACTATAAAATGTTTTTACTAAATAATCGAAGTTATGCCGAAGAAGCAATTGGTGTATCCAAAAACTCTTGACCCTTCTTTTCTCGATGTTCTTCATAACCACTTTATGCACGACGGCGTTCTTTCCAAAGAATGTGTCACAACCCTTCTTTTCGAGGTTCAAAAAGTTTTAAAAAGTGAGCCAAACCTTTTAAGAATCAAAGAAGACACATTGATATATGGTGACTACCACGGTCAATACTTTGACTGTATTGAACAAAGAGATGACGAGTTTGTTTTGTGACATAATTAATTCGTGACTCCTTTCCACATCTTGTTAAAACGTTTGAAACGAAAAAATAATAACCCAAAGGTTTTGGACAGACACAGCACACTGTTCGTTGTATCTTGGAGACTATGTTGACAGAGGAACGATGTCGTGTGAAGTTGTAATAACACTTCTTTTTATGAAACTTATCACTCCAAACAAAGTGTATTTGCTCAGAGGAAATCACGAGACACGAAAAATGACGGAGAGGTTTGGGTTCAAATCGGAGTGTATGGTCAAATATGACTTTGAAATATACAACCTCTTCATCTCAACATTCGAGTGCTTACCACTCGCCGCAACAATCACCCGTGGTATCGGAGAGTTCTTTTGTTGTCATGGTGGCATTTCTCCTGATCTCAATAAAATTGAGGAAATAGACAAGATCTATCGATTCACAGAAGTACCGTCGAAAGGACTCTTTTGTGATTTGTTATGGTCTGATCCATTTGTCCCCGAGCCTGGACAAAAAAACAAAGAAATAACAACTTTACATTTTGTCAAAAATGTATATAGAGGGTGTTCGTACATATACGGCGTGGAAGCAATGAAGGACTTCTTGAAAAACAACGAGCTCAACTTACTCATTCGAGGACACCAATGCTTCGACTCCGGTATTTTTGCACACACGTTCGGATTTCCTGAACAAACACCTTTGGCGTTGACTGTGTTTGGAGCAACAAGGTACCAACGAAATAGTAAAGCTGGGTGCGTCATGATTGAAGAGAAAGATGTGAAGATACGAAGGTACGATTCGACGACTATTCAGAAACACTTTGAGAAGGATTTCGGCGGAATATTTGTCGACTCGATCTTTGGACTTGGCAACATGCTTCAAGAGATCGGATTTAGTTTGTTTGAGTTGTGTTACTACTACGACGACGATTTGAAAAAGTGCGCAAGCGACGAGAAAATCGCCGAGGACCAATTTGTAGTGTTTGACTCCGACGACCAAACGAGTGGAGATGAAAACGGTTGTGACGACAGTGGTGGGTCCGACAGCGACACATCTTCAAGTTCAAGCGGTTCAAGCGATAGTAGCACTCAAAGTTCAAGTGACTCATCATTAGAAGAGCCACAAGACATTCACATGGAGCCCAAAAGCATTAATACAGACCAGAATACAATTGTTCCTCAAATTAGTACTGTTGAAAACCATCCAAAGGAAGAAAAGATCGAAAATTTGCAAACAAAACCCGAACCACTGGCTGTTCCAACCCCAATTTCATTTTTGAATGATCATCTAACTAAACTAGCAATATCGAGCAGGATAGTAAATCTGTATCAGACAATCCACCATAGCAGAACTAACACACTGTTTTGCTTATCAAAGTTTAAGCCTCCACAAAGCCCTTTGCCACAGAAATTGACAACATCAAAGTCAATAGCAACAACTCGACCGCTTTTATGTTCGTTATCTATCACTTTAAATATTCGTTAGCTCACCTGTAGATGAACGTGTGGTGAAATGGCTCAATTGTGACGCCGCTCCTGTGACATTGGAAGACCTAAGACATATGTGGAATAAACATAAATAACTCATTTTTTTCATTTTCATCTGTTTCTTCTTTCCAACATCATAATCACAACAAATTATTAAATGAGAAATAAAACCAAGTTTAAACCATAAAAATTGGTACACTAAAAAAACAAACATTAAAAACAAAACAAGTACTATTAAGTAATCAATAAAAAATCACATTTTATAGTTACTCAAAGATGCCTCGACTTTCGTTCTGATAAATGAGGTTGGACTTGTCTGAAGTTTTAGCTGCTTCAAGGCAATACGTTAGGGACTTAATAACGTCGTCCAAATCAACTTCTTCGTTTTGTTCTTTCAGTTTTTGAACTAGGGCCGTGATTGTCGCGTTTTCGTTTTGGAAAAGTTCCTCCATCATAACCCCAAGACTTCGCACATCACCAAACTTTCTCTTTCCACCACTTTCGTTAAGTTCATCTTCAATTTGCAATTTTCGGTTTGAACATATTCGCGTGTTTTGGGGAAGCAAATCAAAGGGAATCTCATAATTCGTGATTTTCCCACAAATTTTGTCAATGTCCGAAGAAACGACAATCACGTTATGAGCACACAATTCTTTAAAGTCAATCTCTCTTTTTCTCAAATCTTTCAGACCACGAGTGACATCAATACAAATTTTGAGTAAAAGTGACGTGTATTTACGTGGCACGTCAGAAAGAATGGTTACAAAGTTGTCGAACACAAGGAAAAGCGCGTTTGGTGAGAGCCCGATGTTTTTAGGGAGGAACAAATACTCAGAAAAAATGAGTTGTGATTTAATCACGTCTATTGCCTTTTCGTGATTTTCAAGATTGATGTTAAGAGGCATTACAATCCCGGATTTTGTTGGGTCGCTAGCGTAAGTGAAATGGCGAAAAACGCCAAGACAACTTTTGTTTTGAATATTTTCTTCGACAAAATCTGATGAGTCAATGATGTAATCTTGAGCACTATTAACTAGAGACGACACTTTAACTGCACACTCCCCTGAACTCACTACTATCCCTTCATTAATATAAGACGTACATAGTATAGTAATAGTAATAATAACATTTTCAGACGAAAACGGTTGAATATCGACCGTTGGCGGTGAACATGTGTAATACGCTCGATAACTTTTTGGGAGTTCAACCACACAATGCATCGGAGTATCTGAAGCGTTTGTTATAGTCAAATTTTGTTCCAATTGTTTGTGAAGTGGAGCATCACCACTAGGATATCCATAACTCAGGTATGAAGGAGATAACATAGGGGGGATAGCAGGAGATGCCAATGCCCATGAACGATAGGCCAACACTAGTATAATCATAGAAGAGACAAATATAACAATAGATGCTAATGTTATTATTATAAGTTGGCCTATATTAATTACGACTATGATGTAAGTATATATTAGATATAATATAATTATTATAACATGATATTATAATTATATTAGATATATTATAACAAACCATAACATTTCCAGTTCTGCTCGTTAAGGTAATACCCTCTTGGACATACACAATCATTACCATTACAATGCTTTTTAAGTAACTCTCTAACGTCATATGAATATTGATGGATATTTACACTTGGATACATTCCACCTATAATCAATTCATCGCCTGTTAATGATGCGGAAATGCCTTTGTAGTCGAGTGGATCTCCTCCACCGAGTTTTCCAATTTTCACAAACCGAACAACTTCTCTGTGAAGTACCGCAAAGTTGTCGTAGAACAATTCAACTACGCCACGACCTTTGTTCTGACCAAACAACCCGACTACTAAGACACTTCCATAAGTTTGTACACAGTCTACTCCATATGATGAAAGTCGAGTTTCATTTGCTAAGTAAAATGGTACATTAATAGTTTCAACTGTTTTATAGTCGAATGGAGATCTCACTTCTATTAAGTTCTTAGTAGTTATCGCATTAAATACTACATCAAATACGTTAACTACCATTGGATCATTTTCATCAGACTCTCCTTTTGTTTCCGTCTGATACGAAAGAACTAATGACAGTGTAGCTGCTCTATATAAACTCGTATTTGTATTTCTTTTAATTGCCAAAATGTCGTGTCCGTGCGACACAAAACTGCCACATTGGACTTCTGTCTTTTTTGTCAATTTTCCCGTCTCGGAAAAGATCGAAAATGCTCTGTGTTAGTTCTTTAATAGTTCTTATTTAATAAAAAGTGGTATGACAAGGGAAATACAAACTGCCGTTTTGACAAATCATGAAGAAGTCTCCAACGACTTCGATAGGCGAGTGTGTGTCAAACGTTTCGTTGAGGGTTATTATCTTATTTGGCGAAGAGTAGTTGAAGTAAAACAATTTTTCCTTATTTAGTACAAACACATGTTCGTTAACATTAACTGCTCTCGGCCACTCTGCTGAAGCAGAGATGTTTGCTGTGATGATTGTTGAGTTTGATATTTTCGAGTCGACAAAGAATCTGTTTTCTGTCATTCAGTACATTATATACTACTAACTAACTATGTTCTGATATTATTTAGATAATAAAACGAACTCTCCGTCTTTTTCGAGTAAGTGATGAGTGAGAATCTATAGTCAGAAAATTCATTATAATACGTCCCAAGTACAGCAACTTCTTTACTGCTCTTATTTGTGTCGATCTTGTCGAGTGCATAAACGGAAGTTATTAATAAAACAGAAAGAATCACCAGTAAACTCATAATAGAATTAACTATAATAATAAGATCAATATTTAAAATTAAAATAAAGCAATAAACAAATTATACCTTCGATCGACCTCGAGGAGTAAGGAATGAAAGAAGACTCTTTTTGTGGGAGTCTTCATCTTTTTTGAAAGAAAACAGAGATAACTTTTTGAAGGACAAAGATCGCTTCTTATTTTTCAATGGCTCGTTTAAAACAACTTCTGTCGTTTGAGGGACAACATCTAATAATAAAAAGTGTTCAAACAAATTAGTAACACTCGTGTTCTTCAGTGCAGAGGTCTCGAAAAATTTGGTACTTTTTGAAGAGTTTTTGAAAGAATCCGCAAGTTGTTGTCCTTCTGTAGTCGATATCTCTCTTTTAGCTTTAGACAAATCGATTTTATTGCCAACAACAACTACATGTGGATTGTTTGTTGGGAACATTCTGTTGTACGTAAACAAAGCTTCAGTGAGTATTTCAATACCTTCACTGTAGCTCTGTCTGTCTGTAATAGAATATACTAAAACTAACACGTCGCTTCTTAGAATGTGTTTTTCAGTTATCGTTTGGTACAAATAATCACCAGAAGAGTCTAAGAGTATCGCAATTTTTGAGTCTAGTGAATTACTTGGATTAACAATGTTACACTTTTCCTCAGAGTCTACTGTTGGGTTGTGAATTGTAATAGCTCTACCATATTTATACTGCTGTATAAGTGCCGTTTTTCCCGTTGATTGTGTACCCAAGAATGTGATTGTCAATTGATTCATACAGTTATTATTCATACCTGTTATTTATATCATTAATTCGTGTTTTGAAAAACGTGAAAATAGGAAAGAAGTAAAAGAGTATTGTTTTATTCCAAGTAAAACGAAGAAATTGTATTTCAATGGTCAGTTTTAACCACTTGTATACATTTTATGGAAAAAATAAAAACAATTCAAAAAACGGAAATAAGATTGATGAAAGGTATTTTGTTTTTCTATGAAAAAATATCATAGTACTATTTATTATTACTATTATATAGTTTAAGTATAATACAAACACTTTTCAAAAACAAAAAAAGTTTCAAAAGTTTAGGCGTGTAAAATTAAAGTAAAAGTAAAATAGAAGTCATAATTATTTTTTATTATTTTGAAGTTATTAAGAGTGTTAATTATGTTCCAAATAAATATCAAAAACATATAAAAATATGAATGTGGTAACATAATAAGAAATATTCAAATTAAGATGAAGACGAGTTAGTAGCCTCTGTATCATTTTGAGAATTGATAAGTTTTTGGTCACTAATCTCTCTTTCGAACGTCTCTTGGAAAGCAATTGGACTTGCTAGTGTAGAATCAGGGTTGAGCAATTGAATTGATTTAACATTTTTATTGTTTTTTGTTATAAAGTCTCCAGAAGTATCAAGTGATTTGGTTTTCATTTGTTCATCGTAATTATTTTGATTTGACCCATTCTTCGCCATATTCACAAGGTCTTCAGAACATCCTGATTGTTGGACTAATTTGTTGAATCTGGTATTTTCTCTTTTGATCAATTCAATTGGAGAATCATCTTCAATCAATTCACCACTTTCAAACACCATCACTCGGTTAGAGTTCATTACTGTTTGTAATCTGTGGGCAACAGTTATCACAGTCAAGTCTTCAAAGTTTCTTTTTACCATTTCTTGAATTGTTTTGTCAGTCTGTATATCGATATTTGCAGTTGCTTCGTCCATTATAAGTATCTTTGTTTTCTTGAGTAATGCTCTTGCTATACAAATTAATTGTTTTTGTCCTTGTGAATAATTGTCGCCACCTTCAGTTACTATATCATCCAAATCACATGGAGATTCAACTAAAGATAACGCTTCTTTTATTTGTTTATCATCATATTTGCCTTCTGGATCCAAATTATCTCTTACAGTACCACTGAAAAGAGTGGACTCTTGTGGGAGTATACACATACGCTTTCGGAGTTGTCTTAAAGGGATTGTCGTGATGTCAACACCATCTACCATTATTTTACCACTGAGCGGTTCTTCTATTCTAAAAAGACCAGCCATCAATGTTGATTTTCCACTACCTGTTCGACCAACAACACCAATTTTCTCTTTGTCTTGAATTGTTGTCGAGACATTCTTTAATACAACTTGAAGACCTTTTCGATATCTGAATTTGAAATCAACAAATTCAATTTTCCCACTATTTGGCCATGACGCAGAAATTGTATTATATTTCTCTTTCAGTCTTTCTGACTCTTCTTTTTTTAAGTCATTCATCTTTAATATTCTTTCGGTTGACTGCATTAATGTTTCAATTTCTATGATGCTTAGAGAAAAGTTTGAAATGGAATTTGAAATGTTTGTTATATTCGTGAGTGCCGTTCCAGCTAGAGATGGTTCCATGAATCCTTTGATTTTATTAACAACAATTACAATAACAGTCGCGACAGAAACAATTGCGCCAAGCCAGTCCATTCTCTGAAGGAACCAAAATCGAGCCATCTTACTTGTGTAAATTGCAATTGTGTTACTCTTTATTTTATCAACCAACTTTTCTTTAAACGTATCTTGTGCACCTGCAGATCTTACAGTGGGCAATCCAAGCAATGTTTGATCATAGTGAACGAAAATAGGACCTCTGGTGATACTGTCAAGTCTCACTAAAGCAATGACAGCCTTTGAAGTAAAGAAGTACAACCCAATAAACAAGATAACAAGTATCAAGACCAATATAACTAAATAAATGTTTGTTTGACTAATAGTGATAAATGTTATAAGAATACTAGATAAATTCATGATAATTGGTTCGATATAATACGAAAGATTGAAATCTAAGTTATGGAAATCTTTGGTGAACAGATTTTGTATTCTTCCAATTGGAGTTATGTCGAAATAGCCAAGTTTTGTTTTCATAATATGGTGCATCATCTTTTCATGTAATTTTTTCGAACTCCCAAGACATAAAAATACAATGGACATTTCACATAAAAAGAGTGCCAAAAAGTCTGCAACAAATGAGTAACAAAAATTGTTGAAAGCAGCACGATCTCCTTGTGGCAATTTGAGAAGTGGGTGAAGCGACTTCCCCCACTTTGTGAGAAAAGTATTGAAATAGAATAAGGCTGCAATACGTCCAGAGAGAAAGACGAGAATAGCCAAAAACGCGAATATTGAACCCGACATGATATAATTATAATACACTAAGGGCGACAACCCACCGACTTCTCGGCTTTCCTCTTGAATTTTTGTGTGGACTGCATCTCCACTAACAAAGTTGGTATCTTCTTCTGTTTCTTTATGATCGTCGCTCTTTTCTGAAAGTATTTTCACCAAACCTGAAGCTTCAACTTTTGATAGTTTGAGCTCTTCTAAAGATCCATTAAATACAAGTTTGTTGTTTTCAACTACCAGGATTCGGTCTGCATTTTGAATAAAATAAGTCTGATTAGTCACAACAAGCCTTGTTTTACCTTTCAACGCCTTTTGAATAGCATTTTCAAATATAAAATTTCCAACTTTAAAATCCACCGCACTAAGGGGGTCATCCAATAGAACAATATCTTTTGCTCCATAAAGTGCACGTGCAAGTGAAATACGTTGTCTTTGCCCACCAGAAAGATTGGCTCCCTTCTCCGCTACTACATAAGAGTCCCCACCTGGTAGAGATTCAATATCTTTTGCAAGACAGACAGAGTTGATAACCTCGTTGTATCTCTTTTTATCGAAACTTTCCATGAAAACTATGTTCTCTCGAACGGAAACGTTCATAAGCCAGGGAGTTTGACTTGCGTAAGACACTTTACCATGTAAACCAGTTTCACCTTCAAATTTTTCCAATTCGTTCAACAATGAAAGTAAAAATGAACTCTTACCACTCCCTACATTTCCTAAAACACACACCAATTCACCTTTCTTGATGTTTAGAGTTTCACACTCGAAAGCAGTTTCACCATTTGGGTAAATATGTTTGGCATTTTTCATTTCAATTGCATCATCAGAAAAATCACTTGAAGATTCAACTGGCTTAAGTTCCAAAGTTAACAAGAAATTCATTATTCTTTTGATGGAAACAAAAATAGTTGAAGAACAAGAAGCCAACAACCCCAGTGTTCTTATGGGCGCCCGAACCGCATTAAACAGTGAAATGGACGTGATGACATTTGCAAGTTGGAATTGTTGTTTCGTGAAAACCATTACAACAAAAAGAACAATTGCCATTGCAGAGCCAACTTCAATTGTAAACGTGAAAAAAGAGCCTCTTGAGATACCAACAAAGAACAATTTTACCAATTCGACGAATCTGAGGTATTTGGTTTTCTTTTCCATTGCCTTCTCCCATGAATTATATTTCACAAATTTGATATTTTTAAGAACCTCATTGATAAAGGATAGTCTTTTGTCTTTCATTCGAATGAATTGAGTATAAAATAAACCATAAAGCACTCCAAACAATATGTTGAATACAAGAAATACAACAAAGACAATTAAAGGAACAAAGACCCACTTCCCTATATAAATACCAATCATTACAAACAAAACAATAAACATAACAGGAGATGCAAGTCCATACACACTGATTTCAAAATTGCCAACAAATATAGCAGCATCTGTGGACATTAGGTTAACTAATTTACCGGGTTCTGCTATACCCGCGGCGTTTAGTTTTAAAGCCTTTTCGTAAATGAGACTGATTAGACCATTTCGTACTCTTAGGGAAACAACATATAGCCACTTTTTACCAAATTCACCTGCTAATGTAGTTATCAACTGGAAAATAACAGAAAGTAATATCCATACGATTCCAAACGTTACATTGGCTTCTTTATTGTTCAACCATTTGATGATAAATTGTGTCAATAAAGGAAACGCAAGTGAAAACAACTCATAAACAGCAATAGTGAAATAACCAAATAACATGGACTTCCACTCTTTCTTGAAAATAACCCACATAAGAGAAGGATTTTTACAGCATTCTTCCTCTGACCATAGAAGTTGTAAGTCGTTGTTGTATTTTTCTACTTCAAGAGTTTTGGGTAAAGGCTTCATATCTTTCAACCTCAAGTTTCTTCTTCTACCAATGATCATCTGAGATAATGGTTGTCTGAAAAACAGAACATTGAAGAATTTCAATATACTGTTTGGACTTTTGTCGTACTTAACCGTTTCCTCTTCTTCATAGAAATAATCTTCTTCTGTTGTTGAGGTAGTCTCATTTTCCATTTCAATTTCATCATTCTTGAATACTTGTTTATCCGTCATTGTGATGTAAGATCACTTCAAACCCACGTTTAAATACACTTATGATGCTTCGAATAATAGGGTTCGTAGTGTTTCAAAAAATGATACTTTTTTATACACATTGAATACTTGTCACAATGCAATTAAACTCAAAAAACAACTTCTTTTACATTTATTGGCTTTTTATGCCTATTTGACTAAAGATCATTTTTACATTTTTTGAATGTTACAATTTTGGCAACAAAGTAATTAAATCAACTTTAAAAAACTACAATAGAAATATCCAACTCACTTATTGAAGAATTAAATTACTTTTTTGGATAAAAAGGGATATCCTAAAAAGTCTCCTCCTTGTTTGTTTAATTGAGATTTTATTTAAAACACTTTTTGAAAGTGTTAAAGCAACACTTTAAAATATATTTGTTTTATTACATTTTATTTTGTAGTTATTATATAATTGGTTGTTAACAAAGTGTAAATTCCTAATCATAACAAATTAACACAAGTAACAACAATGTGAACGTCACCAACTGACCTGAAATTTCAAAATCAACAAACATTTTTGAGTACATTTTTCAAAATTAACAATGAGTTACCTTTTTTAAAACAAAGCACTCACACTTAATAATTA